TTTGAGTTCCCTATATTCCTAGTTGAATATCAGGCCCCTTTGTAGCCAATAATTGAGGTGGCATGCAATTTACTGCCCACAATGTAATAATAAATGATTATTAGATAAAATGGATTCATGATATTGGTAAACTCTTAAAATGGTTCTGTTCAAAAATTATTTTTAAAATATTATAATGCTTAAAACATATATTTAAGCACAGTAAAGAAAATCTAAGAGACATTTATATCAATTATCTAAGCATTAACAAGCAGGGTCATTATTTTTGTACATGATTTAGTAAAGTATCACAGCTTGTTAAGATGCAATTATAAATGGTGTATTTACCAAAACTAATTCAAATACATTTTAGCTACATGTATTTCTTAATATAAGAAAAATTGAATTTAACAGCTACTGTGCTTTATTTATAGTAAATATTCATATTATCATTGCAATTACAAACAACATATTCAATGAATGCTGAAGGGTTTAACTGAATTTATGATAGCATGCATTGCGATATATATTGTGGTTTTTACATAATGAAATTTATAAATCTTTACTTTGATTCTACAAATTAAGTGAAATAAAGTTACGAAAATTAACTCATTTTCTAATTGAAACACTGATAGACAATGTCTGGTCAAGATACTGGCAAAGGTAAACATGGTTTTTGATTGATCAAAATTACAATGGAACTACAGAACAACCATCATTCAGAACTACCTGAAATCTAACTGAACACAAGTCCTACAACTTAAGATATAAAGAAGAAAACACATTGAGACTGGTAGGAGAGGTAGAGACACAGAACAACTGATTCCATACCCCCATGTGGCAGATAAAAATTGAGAAGTATAATTTCCCATTACCAACAAATAAAGAGCATTATGCTAAGTGAAGTAAGTGGGGGCCTCTTTGGGTTCATTTTTTTGGGATTCTCTGTACTTCCTGGACTTGTATGTCTATTTCCTTCACCAAGTTGGGGAAGTTTTCTGTCATTATTTTTTCAAATAGATTTCCAGTTTCTTAATCTCTTTCTTCTTCTGGCACTCCCATTATGTAAATGTTGATATGCTTGAAGTTGTCAGAGAGGCTCCTTATGCTCTCTTCATTAAAAAAAAAAAAAAATTTTCTACTTACTGTTCTGATTGTTTTTTTGCTCCCTTATATTCCAAATCACTGATTTAATCCTTGGCTTCATCCACTCTACTGTTGATTCTATGTAAATTGTTCTTTATTTTAATTAGTGTATCCTTCATTTCTGACTGGAATTTTTAATGCTTGAGGTTCTCACGAAGTTCCTTGAACATCCTTATAACCAGTGTTTTTAACTCTGTATCTAGTAGCTTGCCTGTTTCCATTTTGTTTAGTTCTTTTGCTTGAGTTTTGTTCTCGCCTTTCATTTGGGCCCTGTTTCTTTGCCTCCTCATTTAGACAGCCTCCCTGTGTTTGTTTCTATGTATTAGGTAGAGCTGCTACATTTCCCAGGCTGGGTAGAGTGGCCAAATATAGTAGGTGCCTCGTAGGGTCCAGTGGCTAAGTCTCCCTTGTCACCTAAATGGGGTACTCATGGTGTGCCCTCATGTGGTCTGTGTAGACCACACCTACCTGTTGTAGTTGAGCCTTGATTGTTGCCAGTATATCCAATGTCATCCACCTCCTGTGTTCTGTCTGGACTCATATAGCATAAGCTACAAAGTGATCTGCTGCTACTTATGCTGGGCTTGGAGGTAACCAGGGTAGACCAAGTTGTGAACCAAGACTGGCTGCTGCTAGTGCAGGGCTTGAGGCAATTTAGCGACAGGTACGGAGCTCATCGAAGCCAGGTGCTGCTTATTTGAGAGAATTTAGAAAAATCTGAAGCATGGGCCAAGACAAGCAATTCCTATGGAAAAGCCACGGGAAACATCTTGAGTAAGCCTGAAAGTTTGGTTGAGTAAGGCTGCAGGGAATCACCAGAGTGGGGCAAACAGTGTGAGGCAGGTTGATAGTCTCAAAAATGGTTCCTGCCTGCCAGCTCTGTGGCGGGAAGGGCTCAAAAAAGGAACAATGGCCTCTGCCAACACGTCTGTATGGGGAAAAGTTGACCCCCACCTCTCACCTTGATACTGGACAATTCAGTTCTTCCCTGTAAGTCTCTGTTGCCTTTCAATGTGTTTTCCCCATGCCGGAGCTCAGAGGCAGTGAATCTGAGTAAGTCTGTGCACTGGCCCTTTAAGAGGAGCTGCCAGGGAGTACAGCAGTTTCTGTCTTTCTCAGCCTCAATCCCTACTGGTTTTTACAGCCCGAAGTCATAAGGACTTATCTTCCTGGCACTCAAACCCTGGACTGTGGTGCTTGATGTGGAGGTGGGAATCCTCACTACTGAGATATACTTCCCAGTTTGTATCTGCCACATGTGGATGTGGGATGAGCCCATTCTATGTCCCTGCTTCTCCTACCAGCCTCGATGTGGTTTCTTCTTTAATTCCGTAGTTATGACACTTTTACTTAGCTCAATTTCTGACAGTTCTGAATGATGGTTGTTTTATGGTTTAGTTGTAATTTTGATATGGTTGTGTGAGGAGGTGAGCTGTGTTTACCTATGCTGTCATATTGACCAGAAGTACTAAAGCCAATCTTACAATTCAAAGGACTGAAATCACACAGTGTATATTATCAGACCACAGTAGAATTAAACTAGAAATCAGTAACAAAAAGATAACAGTAAATCTCTATTTGAAAATTATAAAATATACTTCTAAATAATCCAGGAATCAAAGGAGAAATTAATATGCAGCATAAGTAATATAGTCAATAATATTGTAATAACTATATATGGTCCTGGCTTTGAAGACCCAAGAGTGAATGAACCCTAGGAAGCTAGGCTTAAATATAAGAACAAGGATTTTTGAAAATCTGAGCAGAAATTTCAGTGGTAACACACTGCAGGGTAAATAGACACTACATAATTACTCCAAGCACATGACTGAAATAAATAAATAAATATTTAAAAACAGAGAAATGAGATGTAGCTCATACAGAGGAGAAATTGCTTATACACTGTTTCTGGGAAGGCCTAGGTGATAGATAAAGTGCATAAAGATTCCAAATAAGCTATTATAAATATGTTCAAATAACTAAAGGAAACCATGTAAAAAGAATTAAAGGAATATATGATGACAATGACTCATCATATAGAGACCATTAATAAAGAGATACAAATTATAGAAATAAATGAAAATTCTGTAGTTAAACAATATAACAACTGAAATGAAAAATTTACTCAAGGGGCTCAACAGCAGATTTGAGCTTCTAGAAGCAAATAATCAGCAAACTCAAAAGTAAATCAATAGAACCAGAGACATGGAAGTAAAGAACAAATTGACAGTGACTGGGGGTGGGGGGAGGGAATAACAATGGAAAGAAGGAGAAGGGTCAAGTCAAGAAATGTGTATAAAAAACAATGGACAAAGACAATGGGGGAGAGGTTGAATGTGGAAGGTGGGGGGTTGGTAGGGCAGGGGGAGTAATGAGGGAAAAACGGGGACAACTGTAAATGAACAACAATAAAAACATCTTTTAATTTTTTTTTAAGAAAGGTAGGTCAATAGAAATTACCCAGTCTAAAGAACAGAATGGAAAAAAAATGAAGAAAACAGAATAATCTCAAAGGCCTGTGAGACAGCATTAAACACAGGACATATGCATAACAGGAGTGCCAGAAGAGAGGAAAAAAAATAACAAGTGTTTGAAGAAATAATGGGTGAAATTTCTCAAATTTGATGAAAAACTTTAATTTACATATTCAAGAAGTTCAATGAACTCCAAGTAGAACAATCACAAAAATATTCACAACTAGAAAGATATTAATCAAAGTGTTGAAAGCCAAAGCCAAGCAGAAAAACATAAAAACAGCAGGAGAAAAATTACATATAATATGCAAAGAAAATACAAGAAGATTAACAGTTGATTTCTCATAAGCAACAATGGAAGCAATGGAAATGATGGAAATGCCCAGTAGATGAGTGGATGAAAATAGTTGTGGTACATATATGAGTATACAATGGAAAATTACTTGACCATAAAAAGAATAAAATCTTAAAATTTGGGACAGAATAGATGGACCTAGAGGGCAATATGCAAAGTGAAATAAGTCAGTCAGAAAAATAAAAAATATCATATGATTTCATTTATATGTAGAATCTAGGGAACAATATAAATGAACAGACAAAACAAACATAGGCATAGATGCAGAGAGCAGACTGGTAATTGCCAGTAGGGTATGGGTTTGGGGAACTGGGTTGGGAGGGTGAGGAGGTTAAGAAGTACAAATTGGAAAAAAAGAAAAAAGGTACAAATTGGGTTCTGGCCAGATGGCTTACTCATTTGGATTATAGTCTCATATATCAAAAGGTTTCGGGTTCAATCCCAGGTCAGAGCACATACCTAGTTTGTGGGTTTGATCCTGTCAGGGTGTGTATGGAAAGCAATCCATCAATGCTTCTCTCTCACATCAATATTTTTCTTTCTTCTGATTTCTCTTTCTCTAAAATCAATAAGCATATCTTTGAATGAAGATTTGTTAATAAGTGCAGGTTATTGGTTGCAGAGTGGCCATGGGGATATAAAGCATAGCATAAGGAATATATTAATAGTCAATAATATTGTAATAACTATTTATGGTGCCAGGTGGATACTGGAAGTATCAGGGAGAATATTTTGGAAAGTATATGATTGTCTAACCACTACGCTGTACAGCCAAAACTAATACAAAACAATATTGAATGTAAAGTGTAATTTAAAAATAAAAAATATATAATCCGTTACCTAAAAAAAAAAAATGGAGACAAGAGGTAGTGTTATGACATATACAAAATGCTGGGTGAGGGGACTTCAACCAAGGATTCTGGAATTCAGCTCACCATGGTAACTGCTCATGACAATGCTTTTTCTGGGCAGCTTTGGCTGCCCCTTCAGATCTTCTGTCTGAGGTGCTGAGGGGAAGAGTGTGGAGAGTTTTCTGACCTGACGCTATGGGGAACGAAAGAGGTGACAACTTTGAAGATATGAGCATTGAACAACTGAAATTGGAGTTATTGGAAGAACTTCATATGAAAGACTTAATACAATTCTCAATAATTGAACTAAGACACAAAATAATGGAACTGAAAGCCAAACTCATTATTGCTAATATAGGCAATGGATGGAAAATCTGTTATGAGATACAACTTGAAGTGAACGATCAACTAAAAAAGCAAATAGCTACTCTCAAAGAGAAATGGGAAAAACTCCATGTAGACCCTTCAAATAGACTGTCTTCTATTCGTGCCTATGAACGAATGTCAGTAAAATCCTTAGTTTCATTACTTGAAAAGCTAGAAAAAGAAAAAAGGCATCTTGAACATCAAGTGAAATACTATTTACTTAAACTGGAAGAAGAATCAAAGGCTTACCAAAAGATCAAGAATGAACGGCAAATATACCTAGCTAAATTATCTAAGATCTTTCACTTAAAACACATTTCTAGAAGGCAACAGATGAATGAACTCCACAAAATTAAAGAGAATCCAGTGAAAATGGGAAGATATAATACAGCTGATCAGAAGACAGTAAATACCAAAAGAGGACCAACAAAAAAGAGTACGAGATTAAATCACGTTCCAAAACCCAACACATGATTCAGGAATTGGGTAGATTTCTATCTCTTCCCCTTTTTCATTTGTTATATTCAACTTGTCAAATTAATGTTCAACACATTTTTTTTAGAAATTAAATAGATAAGAAAGATCTATTAAACCTTTTTAGCTCCTCTTTCAAAGTAAATAATATTTCATTAAAATGGAAACAAGCAAACAAATAACAAAAAGCTGGGGTAGCAATACTTATACCAGAAAAAAAAAGACTTTAAAATAAAGGCTATATATTGTAACAAGAGGAAAAGAAGGACCCAGAATTTCCACTTCTGGGTATTTATCCAAAGACCTAAAAGCACTAAGTTGAAAAGACATATATATCCATATATTCATTGCAGAATTGTTTATAAAAGCCAGGATATAAAAGGAACCTGAGTGTCCATCAATAGATGAATGCGTAAAGGAGTGGTGCATATATAAAATGGAATATGTCTTGTCCATAAAAATGAATAATATCTTACCATCTGCAACAACATGGGTAGACCTAGAAGGTATTGTGCTGAATGAAGTAAGTCAGACAGAGGAAGACAAATGCACTATGGTTTCACTTACATGTGGAACATAGAAAACAAAATAAATGATAAGGAGAACAGAAGCAGACTCGCAGAGACAGAGAATGTTTTGATGGTTGCCAGACGGGAGAGGGGTTAAGGGCCTGGGTGAAGAAGTACAAATTGATAGTTACAAAATATTCACAAAGATGTAAATTAGAGCATAAGAGATATTGCCAATAATATTTTAACAACTATGTATGATATATGGGTAATAGATTTATTGGGTGATCATCTAGTAAATGATATAATAATACCTAATCATTGGGTTGTACAACTAAAAATAATATTGTATGTTGACTATAATTGAAAAATTTCAAAAATTTTTAAAGTCAGAAAAAACCTGCTAATGGAGACAAATCAATATTAATAACTTCACTTTGATACATGTATAAGAAAACTTGAATTTCAAAATGACCAGATTTAATTTAAAAAGGGTCATTTAATCTAAATAAAAAATTATGCCTAAGTAATAATTTTTAAATATAGTAATTTATGTAAATATAACAACATATTGAGCACTTTTTAAAAAGTAATACTAATATTTCAAGTACCTTATAATTTAGTTTTTTTGTTTGTTTTATATGATTGGGGATATTGTGGTTCACATAGTGGATAAGTAAACATCACAATACAATCTGTTTAATTATACATTCATTATCAACTTTTGAGATCTTAGATTCACTAGTTAATCTTTCATTATACTCACTGTTGTTTTTACTTACTGTTTTTGCAAAACTTATACTATGTCAAATTATAAAATAGCTTTTATTTACTCATACATTAAAAAAGATCTCTATCACAAGAGTATTCAGTTTACTTCCTATAAATTTTACAGAACTTCCACTTACCCCATTTTCTGCGCACCTTTTATGTCTATACCATCTATAATTTCTTGTTTCCCACTGGCCCTCTTCACAGACTTCCAGAGAGCTTCATTCATTTAAGATGCCAAGGGGCAGGTTGCAGCCAGCAAGTTGGTACAACTGCCTCACAGACCGAAAAATATTCAGTATTTACTTTACCAAAAGAGACCTGAAAAAACAAGCTGTAGTTAACACCCTTTGTTTAAATGCACTAAATTTTATCAGTAATGACCCCAAATATTCACTTGTGGTTATGAGGAAAATCTGGTGTGATGGAAATTTTAGCCACCAAATACAAAGCCAGGAATGTGAAAATGCTTGTTTACAAAGGTGCATCTTGTCCACTCACACTCCAACATGCTGAATCTGTCTATCTGTGGACAAATCTTAGGGTTCTTTTTTTTTTGCTCTCTTGGGTACCCATAACAGACTTATCCCTATGTGCTCATATTTGCGAGTTTATGGAGTGTTTCAGGTCCAAGGGTGGTGATTATTTGAAAATCTGGACTGCCAGCTTGGGCAGCTTGCCATATTCTCCTGTTTTATTGGAAAACACTCAACTAAACTAATTTCAAATAATAAAAAAGAAGAGAAACCCCTGCAATTTACAAAGCAATATTATAAACATTTTCATCTCATTCATCTTCTTTTTTTAAACTATCAAATTTTATTATTAAAGTTTTTATTTTTTATTGTTATTCAGTTATAGTTGTCCTGCCTTTTTACCCATTGTTCTCCGCTGCTCCCCTCCCCGCGCTCCTGCAATCCCTCATCCCCATTGTCCGTGCTTCACATTCATTTTCATAGTAACCCTTTAAATTTGGATAGTCAAGTATTATTATTTCTAAATCCTAATAGAATGTACTCAGATTCTAGTCGATGGATAATCTGTTTCAAGGTAATGTGGTTTATGAATAGGATATAAAGTTTGAATTACATTTAAATATTTATAACTCTAAGACTCTAAGATCAGTATTTTATTTTTAAATTTCAGGGCTTTGTCAAAAAAAGCATTATCTTTCCTGGGATATATGTATTATAATATGGAAAAAGATCTTAATTTACTGTTAATGGTTAAGAGAACACCAAAAGTAGATGATCAGGAAGGAGGGTTTTCTGGCCTTTATAATTCTAATCTCATTCCATGTAGGCAATAGGTATCTATTCCACTATAAATGAACTACACCAGAATTTTAAAAAATGAAGACAGAAAATTTACACATTCCTTCTAAGCTTAGGTGTAGCATCATTCAAAATCATTTTTACAACAAAAGTGTACATGTACTTTACAGAGAACTTATTACTGTATCTTAGTTTACTTTCTACCCTCAGAGAAAGCTCTTAAGGCAAAGGATACCTGTTCCTGTTGTTCTTCACTATCACCTTGTACAAAGTCTGTAAAATAATCACAAAAATTCCTACTCTCCATCCACATCTCACTTAACTCTGTCCTACCTGGGTCTACCTTATAGCCAGCTACAAGAATCCTGCATTTGTACTCACCCATAGCAATATAAATAGCATGTTATGAAGGCAGTAGTGTTCATGCACCTTTTTTTTAATATTAATATTCTTAACATAGTTGAAATAATGTTTATCAAAATCTTAAAAACAGAATATTGTCATAAAAAAATAGAATAGCCTAAGAGTTCTTGAATCCAGACATATTTTAGACCTGTTTTACTTCTTGAAAAGTCATATGGTTCAAATAGAAAATTCCTGTTTTATACTATTATGACTATATAAAATAGCATTTCAAAATTATACAATTTGAGAATTTGAAAAACTTTAGTTTTAGAGCAAAACCAAGCAAGAAATAAAGGTTTTTACTGTTTAAAATTGCATATTAGATTAATGGCAGGGCTTGAATTATATATAATAATATGTTTTAGAAGACATTTTTCCATCCAACTTTTCAGAAGCTCCTTTGTTTAAACATAGGTATCTCTTCTAATTTTATGTTCTAATATCCCCCTTACCATTATATTATTTGCATGTTCCTATGTAAATACATGATTTTCATAAACATTAATGCAAACTGTTCTGCATTTCCATTTTTGATACTAATAATAAAGTCTTTAGCACTTTCATTTTTATATATTGTTTTTCTTACAGTTAATATTTAAAAATTAAATTTCTGGATTAAATAATAGTATCTTTTTAAGGCTTAAACTATGTATTAAAATTCTATCCTAAAGTATTTCACACTGTTGTTAGTATTTTATGCAAATATTTGTTTTAACATAATCTTACTAACTTTAGATATAATTTTTAGTGATCTTTACTGATATAAGGTTTGAAAAAAGCTAAGTCATTCTAATATTACCACATTTTTTATATCTAGGGAGGGTAAACATATTCTCTTATTTATTAAAATGATCATTGTTTTCCCACTTTTTTGAATGTTTTTTGTCTAAAATTGTCTAAAATTGTTTGCCTTTTTATTTAGTGTTTAGAATTTTCCTTATATTCTACCATATTTCTTGCTAAGTGGAACTCAGCCTTTTGCTTTTGTTTTCAATTTTTTCTTAACATATATTCATTGTAAATAATGAGCATGTAATTCTTATTATTCTGTGTCTAGAACTCCTTGTTTTCAAAAGTTACTAAGTATTTATCTATAGGATACTTGCAGTTTTTCTATAATATGGGTTATTTAAATTCTTTACAACATATATATTTTATTCAGTGGAAGTTTTGAGATAAATTATTTAACTGTTGTGTTTTTTCAGAAAGTTAATTACCCCTTATAATTTCATTCTTGAGATGTTATAAGAAATTATATGTAAAGAAATAAGAAAAATTGTAATGATTGGATATTGCTTCTCTATAAATTATATATTCTCATAGTAAGAACAAAATGATAGTAAGAACAGGCTGTTCTAAATATAGAGATTAGTATCCAGGATAGTGGCACTGTCTTCTTTATATAAATATTTAGCGAAATGCTTATAATACAGTAGCCATTTTTTAAGGATTTGGTTAATGAATAAATAATAAATGAATGACATTTTATATAAATTATTATACTTTATTATATATTTTGATAAAATTTTAATCCTTATTTTTAAGAGATTTATGACTTTGTTATTTTAAACTTTTTAAAGTGTGAAGTTTTAAATTAACATTTATTTTGAATGGATTCTAAAGAAACAATGTTTACACAGTTTTTAAAAGTTTTTTCAATTGTTGTAATAGATATATAATATAAAATTTCCCATTTTAGCCATTTTTAATTTTGCAATGCAGTGACATTAATTAATTTGCACCATTTCCAAAACTTTTCATCACCCCAAACTGACACTCTTTAATCATTAAGCAATAACTTCAATTTTTCTCTCTCTACAGAATAAGAAAAAAAACACTGATCCAACCAAAAGCTGTCCACAAGAGGCTAACTTTATATTTAAAGGAAAACACAAATGGGTTGAAAAAACATGATGTGAAAAGATATTCCATACAAATTGTAACCAGAAGAGAGGTGGATGGCTAAATTTATATAAGAAAAAGTAGATTTTAAGTCACCTTTCCAAGAGACAAAGAAGAGCATTATATGTTGATAAAACAATCATTCAACAAAAGGATATAATAATTATAAGTATAGATGCAAACATCAGAGACCCAAAATATATTAAACAAACATTAAGAGAATCATAGGTTTATGACTTTGTTAACTTATCATTTAATAAGTGGAATACAGGGTGCTGGTTGGTGAATTTTGATTCGACAATGGACCACAAAATATCCTGAAATACAAAAGTATATTACTCACAGGTCCTGGAGGAGGAACACAGAGCACAGCGTACCTTGAGATGCCACATGGGAAGGTCAAGGCAGAATGCGGGAAGTGAGAGGGTCAGCGTGGGGGATTGTGACAAGACTTCAGGAAAATAAATTCATTAAGTAGAATCTATAGGTGGTGTGATTTCAAGTTCCAGGGCTAGAGCTGCATTGGTCAATTCAAACCAAATGAGCAAGGTTTTGGTGAGTCTAATGGGGGTATCCTGTAAGTGGTTCACAAAGTATGAGGTGCTGGAAGGCTCTGAAGACTTGATCACAAACCAAGAATGTTTGGGGAAGTCATATTAGGAGCTTACATGTGTTTGTGACCATGCAACTTGCATGAGAGGGCTAGTGACAGTTTTTGACTATTTAAGGCCACATTTTCAGGTCATGCCAAAGCAACAGTACTGTAGAGTAGCGTACCTCAACACTCAACATGGGAGGAGAAATAAACAATTCTAAAATAATAGTTGAAGAATTCAATAGTCCACTCTCAATAATGGGAAAAAAAACTAAGCAGAAGACCAACAAGGAAATAAAGAACTTGAACCAGACTATAACCAATTATATCTAACATACATACACAGAACACTCCCAGAACGATATGCAAATTTTTCTCAAGTGAATGTAGAACATTCTCTGGACTATACCATATATAGGAATACACCATATGTAGGTACACAAAGCTAGCAGTAATAGCTTTTTAAAAAATTAAATTATATAGAGTATAATTACTTTAATAAATAAGAGAATTAGAATTCATATTTAAAATTATTCTTTTATTTATATAGGCTTATGTATAAGTTAATTATTGAATCATGTTAAGACTAACAAAATTTATAGTCAACACACTATAAGCTCTACTATAATGTGTTTTAAGTTGAAACCTCTTCAAAATACACACTGGGGTTGTTGACAGAAACTATAGGATCTTATTTTATTTTTATAAAATCTTTGTTCCATGTAGTCATGGAAAAATATGACACATTCCAACAAGGGACCATCTACAAAATATCTTACAAGTAATCATCAAATTGTGAAGGATAGTCTAACAAAAAAATGAGATTGTCAGAGCCAAGTAGAGCCTTCAAAGACACAATGAATGAATGCAATGTGGTATCCTGGATAAAACCCTGTACCATAAACAGTTTTTAGGTTAAAACTAAGGAAATTGAAATAAATAATGGACTCTAGATAATAATGTTCCAATATTGTTTCCCTAATTATGACAGTGTACCATATTGCTGTGAGATATTGCAATAAAATAAACCATGTGTGAGGACATAGGAACTCTCCTTACCATCTTCTATTTTTTTCTCAATTAATGTATATATCTGTACATATTCTCAACCCACCAAAAAATATGTTTGGACTTGTCAGTGTGCTTCTATGTCACTATGTATTGAAAAATAAGAACAGAGTTATGTGTTAATTAGTATTTTGGTCCTTATAGAGGTTTCACATTATCTAAACTTATTGTTGCAATGTGTGAAAGTGGCTTTTAAATAAATATTCTAATGAACTGAGATATTATAGTCTGATTGAGCTAGTTCTATAAAGTGTCTGTCTATCCCAGTTCAATCTCATGATGGCATCACGTAAATTTTTGTCATAATTATTTACTCAGGTTGACTTTCATTGTGACAATGCTACAGGTTATTAGTTTGAGCTTAAAAAGAAAGTTCTACAGAATTATCCAGAGTTCTCAATTCAAAATGGCATTACCATTTCTATTGATGCAAAACAAAGAAGCATTTACATAAAATATGTTTTCCATCTTTCTATTTTTAATCTGTGTGTATCTTTCAACCTGAGATGGGTTTCTTGTAGGCAGCATATACATCAGTCTTTTTTCTTTCATTCAGCTACCCCATGTCTTTTGGTTGGAGCATTTAAGCCAATTATTGATAGATACTTACATAGTGCCATTTTATTTTTAGACTGTTTTTGTCTTTCTTTTTTCAAATTTTATTTATTTATTTTTAGACAGAGGGAGTGGATGGAGAAAGAAAGGGTGAGAAAAATCAGTGTGTGGTTGCCTCTCATGCTCCCTCTACTAGGGACAACCCAGGCATTTGCTCTGACTGGGAAGTGAACTGGCGACCCTTTGATTCACAGGCCAGTGCTCAATCCACTGAGACACACCAGTCAGGGCTCTTTTTTTTTTCTTCTTAAAGCAAGCCCTTTAACATTTCTTGCAATACTGGTTTGGTGTTAACAAATTCCTTTAGCTTTTTCTTGTCTGGGAAGCTCCTTATTTCTCCTTTGATTTTAAATGACAGTCCTGAAACACCAGTTCAAAAGAACTTATGCACCCCAATGTTCATAGCAGCACAATTTACAATAGCTAAGTATTGGAAGCAACCTAAGTGCCCAATAGTAAATGAGTGGACCAGAAAACTATGGCACATTTACACAATGGAATACTACACAGCTGAAAGAAAGAACTGCTACCCTTTGTTACAGTATGGATGGAACTGGAGAGTGTTATGCTACTCAAAATAAGCCAGGAGGTAAAAGACAAATACCACATGATCTCACCTATAAGTGGAACCTAATCAACAAAACAAATAAACAAGCAAAATTTAACCAGCAACAATGAAATAAAAAACAAACCAAGAGTAACTTGAGGGGAGGAGTAAAAAGAGGGAAGGTGAGAGGTGGGTAATGGGAGAAAAGAAAGGGAAGGGTCAAGGAACTTGTATAAAGGACCCATGAACAAGGTCAAAGTGGGGAAGGATTGAGGGGGGAAAGAAGGGGTGGGTGGGGCAGGGAAAGTAGTGGCGGGAAAATGGAGACAACTCTACTTGAACAAGAATAAAATAATACATTTTAAAAATTAAAAAAACGCATAGAAAAATTTAAAAGAAAATGATTGCCTTGCTGGGTAAAGTAGCCTTGGTTGTAGGTCCCGGCTTTTCATTACTTGAGTATTTCATGCCACTTGCTTCTGGCCTGAAATGTTTCTGTTTAGTATTGTGGATGGTGTAGTCATAGAATGATTCTTTTTAATCTTTAAGAAATCATGAAGAATGAAAGTGAGCAAAAGTAATGCTGATTTTTAAAGGGTGGCAGGGAACAAACCTCTGAATCTGTAGACATATAAGTTTACTATCGAACATTAAACAAATTCAAAGATAGATTTTTAGATGTTACAGTCTAATAATCTTCATTTTCTTCTAGTAAGAAGTAGTAGTATTTCTTGATTTCAGTATATCTTATGACCAGGACTCTCATGAGATCTTTATAAAAAGAATAAAATTGAAATTCCCTTGTTAGAAGATTATTATTCTCTCAGTTTATTTCTAGTTGAACAACTTCACCCAAAGCCTATTGAGCTGACATTAGGGTGGAAGAAAGTCTATCAGGGTATGCTGGAGGGCATTGTCCTTGACCTTGTCTTATTTGATACTTTTTATTAAGAACTCAGATAAAGACATGGTGATAATGTGCCTGATCTATGTGTGTGTGTGTTGTAACTGGGAGCCATAATTAATACTTGGAGTGATGGAATGAGAGGTTAAAGAGGAATCTGAAGGAATGATGAGCTGAACCTACAAGATGAATTCCTGTGGGGATTTTACTTATTTTACTTACAAAATAGACTACTTGGTTTAAAAAAAAAAAAAAGAAGCCCAATATAATACAGAAAAACAGAGTAGAGTAAAGTTAACTTAAAAACAATTGATCTGATGGTGATGGACAGACACTTGACTTGAGGTGGTGAACACACAATACAGAGTGCAAACGATGTGTTGTGGAATTGTACACCTGAAACCTGTATAATTTTGTTAACCAGTGCCACTCGAATAAATTCAATAAAAAGGAAGAAAAGAAAAAAAAATAGTAGGCTTTATTGCTTACTCACTGGCATAAACATATGCTTTGAGTGATCTTGTTTTTATTTCATGATAATGTAAAACAGTACACTCAAATTGATTTATCTGTACATATATTTTGAAATAATTATTTCATGGATACAAAAGTTATTTCTAGAAATACAAGTATATATTGAATACTAAATTATATCTTTAAACAATCTTTTTAAATTTTTCACGTACATTTGTCTTTATTTACCCGCCATCACTTTCCCCTGCCCTACCCACTCCCACCTCCCCCCCTCAATCCTTCCCCACCTTGGCTTTGTCCATGTGTCCTTCACACCTGTTTGTTGATCTGATCCTTCCCTTTCCCCTTCCCTCTACTCCCCTCCCTTCCTCACTCCCTCCTGTCCTTGTCAGTTTCTTCTTTTTTTCAAAGTTGCTGGTCATATTTTCCTTGCGTGCTTGCTTTGCTGATTAGGTTCTAATTATAGGTGAGATCATATGGTATTTGTCTTTCACCGCCTGGTTTATTTAAATTATAGCTTTTGATAAATATACTTTAATTTATTTTTTAATATTGGTATATAGTAATAACAACATAACTTTTTCCACTTAAAAAAGAATTATAACTTGATTTGAACTAAGATATTAATTGTATTGAATTGCATGTTTCTTTTTTCTTTTAGGCTGTACTTTGGAGGTATAAGTTTTCTCAGCTTAAAGGTTCTTCAGATGATGGCAAGAGCAAAATCAAATTTTTGTTTCAGAATCCAGATACTAAACAGATTGAAGCAAAGGTAAAACCAAGTTCATCGCATAAACAGCCTGTAACTACATTAATACTGTTATGAATCAAAGGAGGAGCAATTTAGAAGAACCAAAAGAGCAAAAGCATACATTTTCTGTTTACCTTGGCCTGCATCTCACGGCAAAAAGAAAAAAAAATTAACTTAAAGATTTTAATCGCTAATTTTTCCTGAAAGGCATAACTTAAAATCAGTTATACAACTATTGCAGTTCTTCGTTTTAATTCCTTATGAACTTTATTTGCATCACACTAAAATAATCTAGGAATTAAAAAAGTTGCTTTCTTGGTCATTTCAGACACTAAATTATAATTTAAAATGCTTAAAAAATTTCTGACTCTATTTTGATGACTATAAATCCTTAAAAAAAATATTTATATGCCATATCATACTTTTCTCATGTTTTTATATGTTAAACATTTCAATGAATCATTTTGCTTTGCTTCATGCAAATTCTCAGAATTCTCAACTGTTTAGCTGTTTTTTTAACTCCTCAAAAAAGATTCAGTATTTTTATTTTTTAAGAATACATATATTTTTAAATATTCAAAGCTTTAATTATTTCCATTAATTTACTATAGGATTTACAATAACAATGTTTATCTTAGAATAAACTGTAAATATATATTCCTGTGTGGAAGAATGGGTAAATAATAAATTTCAAAATGAAAATTTTAATTCTATGTTATTGAAAACCAAAATATAATTTTAACTATGGATTAAATTAGCATAATTCTGTTACATTCTTGTACTTGTTAAATTCAGGGAATAATAGTCATAGCCTGACATTCACATTGTTTCAAGGAATGATCCTATCTATTTTCAGGCTCTCATTCTTCTTTTACCAAATGTTTTCTTTTTTTTTTTTTACCTTATATATCAGCTCATGCTCTTTTTTTAACTTTTAATTCCTTAGCTTTTTATCAACATTTTTCTTAGAATACCCCATTTCTGTCTTATGTTTCTCTTTGGACTTTTCTTACCATCTGCTCCTAGCCTGTAGGTTGTTAAAAGAGGGAACTGTGGCTTAAAGTTTCTTTTTTGCTGCTCACTTTTCTACTGCATTTCTCTAAAGCTTTGGTGTTACCCATGGTCTTGTCTTGTATTTGACTCCTGTCAGTTTAAACAAATGTCTTGGTGACTCCATCTACTTCCTTTCTTTAATTGCTTCATAATTCTCAAATCTACATTCCATCACTGCCTCTTTGCTAAATATAGGCCCATCTATGAAGTTGCTTTCTCTTCATGTCCTGCTTTTTAAACCAGGCGGTGAAAGAGGTAGCCACACCTACTTCTCTTTTCTCCTGGGGGTACCATTTACTGAAAATTTACTTTATTCCAGCCACTAACACTTCTCGTTAAATTTATTCTTAGTGTTATTATAAAAAATGTATTACTATTGTCCAAAATATTTATCTTTAGTTTTTGGTAGATTTATCAATCTTTCAAAACACAGGACATATCCTAACACTGGTAAGTGATGTTAATATTCTCAGTTCTTACATTTTTCTGGTTAATGTGAAACCTCAACCACTGGTTGCTGACAGCAGTATAGCATTTGACAAACTACTTCTCTTCAAATCCTTTTAAATGTGCTAAAAATTCCTTAGTGGACAACAAAAACATAGAGGATGAATGCAGTGAAATGACTACAAACTATGGTCTTTAAATTTCAGTCTAGCATGGAACTGATTATACTTACTTAACTTCACTAGTTTTAGTTACCTAATTAGGTATCTGCCAGATTTTAAATATTACTCATTATAATGTTTTCAAGCAATATTTCATAAATGTATTTATTAAAAGCTAGTTTCAGAAGATATTCGACTCAGTTTCTTGAACTTGTAAGCAGAAATTTTTGAATAGTAGAAAGAGAAGACTCAAAAGCACTCTTTAGTGAGTTATTGAGTTTCTTCAAAGTTATCATCTCCTTCTATGAAAGAGGAGTAGTAAGACTTCAATGGGTAACACTGAAAGTACCTGATTATAAAGAGAGACCTCAACACCACCATGGTCCTAACCAATCAGAATGTCGATTGGTTCTATAGAATTGTTAACCATACTGGTATGTATTACCTCTGCTAACACATAAATTGTTTAAGAATTTAAAATAGTACAAATGCTAACTATATTATAACCATTATAATTGCAACTTGTGAGCAATAATCAAAGATATCATCATAAAACGAAAGCAAAGATAATGCAAGCATGTATCACATTACTGGATTTATGGGACCCTTGTACCATAGAATGGTTTATAGTTAAAGTTGATGTAATCTGAGAATTCAAAATTATCTTTGTTAAAACATGACCTTTTTCATGAGTAGGTAGGCAGTATGATACAGTGGAAAAATTACAACCAGGTGTCCATCCGTTAAAATTTCTTCTTTATCATTTCCTAAATATATTAACTAGGTATTTATTACTAAATTACAACTGCTATGTTGCAGGGAATGTATAGAAATAAATATTCCCAGTTCCTGGTACACAGTAGACAATAAATCACTGATGGAAGATTTTACTTTATTTTTAATTTTTTGAGATTTTATAGAGGGTATTTTTTCAAAGGTAGCCACAAAAATATTTTCCTTCCCATGTGTCTTTCTAGAATCTGACACTCCCCTTTGAATGTACATGATCTTATATTGCCTTACAAAGAGCAGATAGTGGCAGAAATGATGTTACACAATTTCTGAGGACAGTTCATAAAAAAACAGTGAAGTGTCTGTGTAGGGCTCTTGTCCTTAGAACCTTGAAGCACCATGCATTCAGGATGTCAGGCCAGAACCTAGCATAATCACAGAGAAAGTAATAAAAGAGTAGCTATTATTATTAGAAGAAAGATTAATAAAGATGATTTTTAGCATATGTATATTTGTGGCCCTTCCCACACTTAAGAAATTTAAGTGTACAACCATAACCTAAGTTTGTGTCATTTATCAAATGCCTTGAACATTTTTTGTGTTTTGTTCTTTTAATTTAAAAAATTTCAATATGGGAAATTTACCGTGAGTCTCTGTCTCCAAGAAAGGGACAGGAACTTCTCTTATATTTATATAACTCTTCTAAATTTATAAATGCCATAACATTGGTACCCTTACTTCATGATATTTGTCCACTACCATGCATTCTTTACTAGATCTAACCAACAATGCAAAGAAGCAAGGAAAATATGACCAGCAACACTGAAAGGAAAAGAAATCAACAGAGACAAGAGGGAAGGGGGGGGGCAGGGAAAGGGAAGGGAAGGGGAAAGTCAAGGAACATATAGCAAGGACCCATGGACAAAACCAAAGGGGAAGAGCTGAGGGAGGGAAGGTGGGATGGGGCAAGGGAAAGAGGTGGGGGGAAGGCAGAGACAAATGTATTTAAAAAGTAAATAAATTAATTTAAAAAAAAAGAACTTTTAAACACAAAATATATGCCTACAACATAGTATTTTTAAAGCTTACTTAATGATTGTTTGGAAGCAGACAAGTAATAACTGTCTCTGCTTTAATTAATATTTTTTGGTATTATTATTTAGTCACTCCTCTTAATCTTTCTTTTTCAAAATTTACTAAGTAGTCATAATCTTAATAGATTATAAAAACCCACCTATGAGTGCATATTAGAAGAGCCAAAGAAATATTTAGAGTTTATTGTGTGTAACTCCATGCTGAATTGTTTATCTAATTATTTCTTTTTCCTTATTTTTTTAAAATTTTGATTTAATTTACACTTTTCATCAACAGAAATAAAATACTATAGAAATAATTGTTTTAAGGCACGTTAGCAAAAAGACTTCTGGAAGATAAATGCAGTTAGTTACTAGGGCATCAGAAACAAATGTAAAACTACATGGATGTAAAGGTATTTGTGAAGTTGTTTATAAGGATAAAATAATATCCTTATTTTAAAAAAAATGATTATTACAGCTTGACAAGAGTAGAAGTCTAGGCTTTTCATTTGGCTTTTTTCTGCTGGAAGCAGGTGTGGGACTGCAATTTTTTTTCTGTAGTATTTGACTAAAGTAGACCAATTAATGTATACAAGTGCTCTTCCTGGCTATATTGCCTGTTTTCCAGTCAAATGGCTAAAGAGAGTACATGTCTCCTCGTTTGTTCTTTTTTTTTTTCTTGGTATGTGTGTTTGTTTGTTTTTGCTTTTTTTTCTTACTGGACTAACTGGTATGTCCAGTTGCCCAGAGTCTCCACTATCTTATTTGAGATATATGTTGCAAACAGAAAAGACCAGAAAAATAACTGTGATGTTGTTCCTTGGGTCCTGAGGTCTCTAAATCCCTAGCCAATGTGCCTTCTTCTCACCTTCTTTCAAGGGTCCATTTGTTTGTTTTGCAAATGATAACCAGAACTTTAGATTATACTTAGTGAGAGAAATAGGGAAACATACATCTACTCCATCACCCCAAATGTAGAACTATAATTATTTTATAGGATGCAATATGAATGCCGCTTATACATAAAAAATAATTGTCATAGTCTAGTATTTTCTCACCTTATATAAGGCCAATGGAATAGTGACTAAAATACAACAAGAATTTGACAATAAAAATTATTATGAACCTGGCTCTTATTATAACAGAAAACTCTTGGAAGAATTCTTTAGATGTAGAGACCTAGTTATATGGATATATTTTGTGGAATAATAAACTTCCTACACTGTAATTCCTTGGATCTACTTTATTTTTTCCTGCAAGCCTGACATGATAAAATAACAAATTTTACATAAATAAAAAGTACTAGAGGAATTTACATTATTTGAAAATAACATAAGTTAACTTTTAAACATTTATATCCTCAATTTTAAATTTAATAGTTTCTATTTAATGAGAGAGTAATCCCAGAAAAATTTGTTCAGATAAAAGTTACTGCTTGCATTACAAGAATTTGTTTCTCTCTACCTTTCTCATTCCATTAGTTATCATCAAAAAAATTTTTATTCTAAAAATATTAAATGGTATTTATCAAAATCAAAATTTGCATTCATTA